TTTATCTATATCTAGCTGAATTTGAGACATACTCTTCTTCCAAGGGGTCTAACTGGCTAGTCAGGAAGCCACTCTGGGGCCGAGGGGTCGCTGATCAGTGAATCCCTGGTGTCCGGGGCTGCCCGCGTCAGGTGTTCTGGTACGACAGCTCGAACATGGTGCAGGCCTCCTCCAGACTCTCGTCCATGTTCAGCCTCTGCCAGAAAGACTTCTGCTTCTTCTGCAGCTCTCGGCGGACACACCTCGGGCAGGGGACAGACTTTTCTTTGCATTCAGAATGGAAAACGGCTCCACAGCTTTCACACCTGCAAAAGCCAACCACGGATATGATGACCGAGACACGAACACTTGAAGCCCAGCGGCCTCTGGGGCAGCTGGGAGCACAATCGGTTATCTGGACAGCCCTGCCAATGGGAAGAGAAATGACTCACAGAAATGGGCTGTCTGCTTTTCCAAATGCTCAAGGTTGAATTTCATTTGAAAAACATTTTTGTTTTCCTGATTCGAACTAGCTTACGGTGTAGGAGTCGGGGGAGTTGGCAGTCACCTGGCAACTCTGATTACAGTGACAATGGACAGAGCACTAGAAGCTACGTGTGTTCGTTTCCTCTCCATTGAGAGCGAAGTGTGGGCAGTAACTCTAGGGTGAAGAGGCAGAAAATGAGGGGGAAGGGCAAGTGCAAACGTTCCGCACCCCAGTGGCAACCCCAGTGTTACATCTGTGGAAGTGGAGTTTCTACATCAGTTAACATGAACCACGCGGCTCTCTGTTAACTCAGTGCCTTTATTTGACATATGAAAAGGTAAAACGACACATTTTCATTTTCTGAATGATACCCTGTGGTCTATCAACTCGTGTGAGTTTTTTAAAAATTAGGAGAAACCTCCTGCCTTAATAAGTCTACCTTTATAACATAAGCGTGAGCAATAAAGCATGAGAGAGTGAGGAAGAAAACATTTCTTTTTCCAACAACACGACAGATATTGTAATTTATAGAGAGGAGACATTCCAGGTGGATGACTAGTTTGTTGTTTGGCTTACTGGAAGCCTGCACAGGAGTCTGAATAGCTTGTTTTTACTGCAAAGTTTTTAATAATGAGTAACTGACAAGCTCAACTATAGCCGCCCCAGTGAGTGGCTTGCCAATGTGGACCGAGTTCTCATCCTTCCACAAAAGTGACTAGCAACTGTTACCTCGCCCTAGGAGCCCAGGAATTGTGCCTGCATGGTTTTGTTCAGCCACCAGCATTCAGGGACTGGGTTCAAAGAGGGCTGCGAAGGAGTCAGTCCTCAGGGCTCAGCCTCGGGTTCTTTTGCTTTTCCCACAGCATCTGGAGATTCAGTCCTGGGCACAGGAGGGTGTTGGGGGCACTATTCCTGCCCCTGACTTACTCCTGGCACCATTCAGGATTCAGAGGGTTTGGCCAAAGGAGTATCCTCCTACCCACCCTCATACCTTGGAGAGGAGGCGACTTGGAAGGAGAGAGACACCATGGGGGCAGGGGGGCAGGTGTTCCAGCTGGGGGACCAGAAGACAGGAGCTTCCCTGCACCCAGCAGCCCCAGCCCCGGCTTAGCTTTCTGGGCCAAGTGAAACATGGTGGTGGTTAGGAGAGCCAGCAAGGAGCACATCATATCCATTCCTGGCTATAAGATTTCTATGAACCGAATGGTGTACCCCTAGAATTCACGTGTTGAAGCCTTAACCCTCAATGTGACTGTATTTGGAGAGAAGGTGTTTAGGAAGTAATTAAGGTTAAATGAAGTCACAAGGGTGAGACCCTGATCCAAGAGGATTAGTGCCCTTACAAGAAGAGACAACAGAGCTCTCTGCCTACCCCCACATCAGAGGAAGGACCATATGAGGACACAGAGAGAAGCCAGGAAGAGAGGCCTCACCAGAAATCAACCCTGCTGGCACCTTGACCTGAAACTGTCAGCCTCCAGAGCTGCGAGAGACGCGTTGCTGTTGTTTAAGCCACCCAGTCTGTGGCATTCCGTATGGCAGTGCAAGCAAACTAAGATAATGACCTCGAGCAGTGCCTTCGCCTTTCTGCGCTTCAGTTCCCTTATCTGCTGAACAGAGATAACACCGGCACCCACACCTCATGGGGAGCTGTGAGCCTCAAATGAGGTCGTGGATAAAGTGTTCGGCACAGTCCCTGGCCATGGTAAAGGACCGCTCCTTCTGGCGAGGCCCCCAGGCCTGCTGCCTTTCTGGGAGGCTTCACCTACGTCACTACAGTGACCTGAGGGCATCTCAGTCAACCCCCTCATTGCCTAGAGGAGAAAATTGAGACTCCAAGAGGGCTACTGATTGTCTCCCGGGGACACAGTAGCTGGAGATGGAGCTGTGACTAGAACCCAGGGCTCTTGGCAGCCCAGCCAAGGCGCTTACTGAGCGTCACTCTCCTGGGCCGAGGCCTGGTCACCCAAGCGAAAATAGGGCGCCATTGTGCAGGGACACACAGGGCCTCCAGTCAGAATACCTGTGTCAAATCACAAATCTTTCTTTATAGCTGAGTGATCTTGGGCAGGTTATTACTTCCTTGGTGCGTTGGTCTTGTTTGTAAAACGTTGCTCACAACGACCTTCTTCCTACTCACAATGTCCTTCTTCCTGCTGTGAGACTAAAGTGAACAGACACAAGTGGAAGGACCCTGCAAACAGTAAGCGTGACACCCCCCTCACAGGTGACGCCAGTGCCTGCTTCCTTGACACTGGCGCTATCCTGGTCTTGGCAGGGTCACCTTTGGCAGTGCCCTCTCCCCAGCCCCTCCCTCCTTCCAGGGAGGATAAAGGTCAGACCCAGGCCTCCTAGCGCCTCTCTCACCTAGGCCAGCTCCTCCCTGGTGGCAATGGCTTTGTCACCACTGGATCACACCTCTGTAACCTCCTATCACTAAAGTGACACTAATGGCAGCTTTCTCAAATAAATTTCCTCCTTCCTGCCCCCTTTGCCCTGCTGGGTTAGTCAGTGATTTATACCCATAGGGATGGTGCCCCAGGGCAGTGGGTGGTAGGAGGTTCCTTCCATACCACTCCCTTATCTCTGCTGATACCAGGCCCCCTGTGAGGGAAGGGCCTGAGTCTTATTGGATATTTCTGGCACAACAAACACCCACGGAGTGATGCAAAGACCAGTACACCTGCTCTTTCTAGCCAAAGGTCAGTAACTGAAAAAAAGCATGAGATAAAAAAATTAATGATTTCAAAATAGTACCAATCCTATTTTCTAGCAATTTGTAACCCAGCAGGCATCTTTGAAACTGTAGTATGGATAGAAGGATCAATGACCTTCCCACGTTCAGCGAGTCTATAGTTAATCCCTCCCCCCATCCTGATTTTCTTTTAAAGGAAAAGAATAAGGACTGGAAAAGGGAAGAGAAACTGTTCTCTTATATAAAATTTATGCAGCTCTGTAATAAAAATGTAACGTGCAGGAAAAATATTTACATTAAAAAAATAATATATAGGTGTGTTCTTCTTGAAGAATAGGGCTTTATTAAAAAGGATTTTTCACTTTAAAAAGAGTCACTGGTTCCTGAGTGTTTGCCGAGTTTCCTGACTGTATTTATAATATGATTTAATGCATACAACTTTTCAGGAATACATCTTTCATATAAGGCAAATCTACTAATGCAATCATCTCTGCTGAAAATTGCAACAGGTAATGAAAGAGAAACGTCCCTTTGGTGTTCCTGTGTGATACATCAAATGAAAGCCGGCGTCTTCATTTCTGAGTCACCCAGTGCAGCAATGAGCAGTTTCATTGCTTTTTGGCTGTTGCTGCACAGCACAGGAAACAAAGACCTATGTCCTCCTTTTCCAGGGCCATAGAGAATGCAACTGCAGGGAGACATATTGACCTGACCAAAGTCATCGAATGGGTCTTTCCATTTTTTTCAGAAAAACATCCATTGCTTCATTTAATATGGGGATCTCAACTTGGCACTATTGACATTTTGAGTCAGACAGTTTTTTGATGTGGGGAGTTGTCCTGTGCACTGTAAGATGTTTAGCAGCAAGGCTGGTCTCTACCCACTACGATGCCAGGAGCAACGTCCTCCCTCTCCCCAGTTGTGACAACCAACACTATCTCCAGACACTGCCAAATGCCCCTGGGGGACAAAATCATCCCTATTGAGAGCCATTGACCTAATCTATCTGGAAAAGGCATCACAGAGGGGGAACTCAGGAGGTGCTTAAACAGCACCTCCCCACATTGAATTTGCAAGTGTCACCCGCTGGCTTATACTCTTACCAACCAATAAGGTCCAGCACAGTGTATTCATATAACCTACTTACTCCGATTTTTCAGTTCTACCCAAGACCCATCTTGGTGGTTGGCCCTCAGTGGCATTTATTTGCTCTTTGGCTGAGAACTCTGGGCTGTTTCTCTGCGGTGTTTTCTGCTTCTTTACGCCCTACCTAGGCCACCTAGCAAATCAAAGCCAAAACTTATACATTGCTTCATAAAATAAATTGCTTTCAAGCAACTGTGAAGCAGTTAGGTTTCAGCAGCTTCTGCAATGAAAAGGAGACCAGTGATACATCAAGGAGGCTGTTTACTGCAGAGAGGGAGAGCTCGACTTGGGTGAGGAGTCCTTGGCCCAGGTTGGCCTTGGCATTGCGGGGGTCTTGGGTAAGTTACCCCATTTCTAACCCTCACACTCCACAGAAGTTGAGTTAGATAGTATCTAAGGTTCCTTTCAACTTGCAGATTTTGTGTGTGGGAGGAGAGGGGTGGGAATCTACTCTGGGTTGTATCCTCCTCCAAATTTTCTTGCTCCAAGGTCTATGGATGAATGAGTGGAAACGTAGCTTTGCTACCTTCTCCTTAGAAGTCTCAAACTGACAAGCTGACTGAATGAGATCAGCCTTAGGTGTAAAGCATTACTTTTAATTTTATTTACATGCACTGATTAATCAAGCTGTGAAATAGCTTATATAAACCAGTATATACAACTCTGACTATCAGGAATTTGGCCAAAAGGAGCTGACTCTGCTCCTATCTCATAAAACTTCAATTAAACATAAGGACTCCTTTTTAAGTCTTCTCCCAATCCTCCCTCATCAGAACCCCTTCTCCCCACAAAAAGAACAGAATTGTTAAATGTTGTGGTTTTTTTTTTTTTTTTGGCGGGGGGGAGGCTGGCTAGAGGCAGCAGCCATTTATCACCCTATATGGAAGTATTTTTGTGTTTTAACCATTGGGGCAGCTGCGCTGGAGTGAACCAGGTACATACCCCATAAGATGTAGGACTAGGAAGGAGGGACTGGAGTTCTGCTTCTGTGGAAGCTC